ATTTAGACTCTGATCACTTTGCCCTTCATAGAATTACTTTCAGTGAATACAATATCACAAATTTCTTTTATGCTTAAAAGTTATACTCTAAACTTTTATGAAAGTTTGCTTTAAAACACAAGAATACGAAATTCATTTCTGCACTTGCCACCTCACCATGCAGTGTGTCTTATACCAAAAAAAAAAAAATTCCTTACCAGAGTTTAGGGCAAGAAATTCTAGAATTTAGTGCAAAGAAAAATTCCCCCATGAAACTTGCAATTTTCATCATTTCTGATATCCAAAGATATGTAATGTATCACATTTCCCCTTTTGCCCAGCCTCCAAGGAAGCTCAAAACCAACACAGTAGCAAAACTCATGAAATCAAAACATATTTGATTCTGTGGTACTCATTTACTATTCCTATTGTATTAAACATAAATGATTTCTTCAATAAGCTCAAAAAATTAAGTTCCCCTTTCTATGTAAGCCTTATCAGCATAATAATTTTAGATTTCTCTATTCATGGATATCCCAAATGTATAATCCTCCAAAAGGGTAGGATGCATTATTTGAACACACACTTATTTTTTTAAACAATGGAATCATCCAAAAAAATTGAAAAGAGAGGCACTGGAAAAGTATAAACTGATATTCCAATGGAATCTAATTTTCATAAATCCTGATATGATACTTACCTCAACAAGATTCAGTGTTAAACCTAAAGAAATTTTTAAAAAATGTATTAATTCTCATTTCACATGTGCTCTTAAATTATATTCTGCATTTGGGAAATTTGTGACCAGCCTGAAGTCTTACAAGTTTAGTGCTACTATGTAGGAAAACCAACTCTCTCATTTTATTCCAATCATACAGCACAGGTGAGAGGGGAATAGTTTTAAATGCATTTAATCGTTTCTGTCTCTGATAGAGAGGCATGGACATATATACACTACCAAACGTAAAACAGATAGCTAGTGGGAAGCAGCCGCATAGCACAGGGAGATCAGCTCGGTGCTTTGTGACCGCCTGGAAGGGTGGGATAGGGAGGGTGGGAGGGAGGGAGATGCAAGAGGGAAGAGATATAGGAACATATGTATATGTATAACTGATTCACTTTGTTATAAAGCAGAAACTAACACACCATTGTAAAGCAATTATACCCCAATAAAGATGTTTAAAAAAAAAAAAAGCAATTTCCAATTTGCAAGAGTCAGCATTTTTATTTGGGACAAATCCCACTACAAATTATAAATCATGAGAGGGTTTCATGTTGTTAACTAAATAGCCACAGCATTGTAATATTCATGTCTCATAAAAAATAAAATTTATAACCAATGAACTGGATTAAATCAAGTGATCACAGAATCATTCACTCTTCCTCACGCATGCTTTAAAATGGCAATATTGTGTCGTCTTTTTGGAATCTACAAAGAAGAGACTTTCCATAATAAAATAAGTGAGGGAAGACTCAAGTTAATGAAATGAAAGCGGTAGTGGCACTCTATTTAATATTTTTATTTGGCATTTCATTGGAGAATTACCAAAAAAAAAAAAGAAACTGTTTACTTGATCACACAAAATGATTCTGATTATTTTGTAAACCATTCCAATTTCTGTAACAAAAATTTCTGTACTTGTAGTGAACAATCCCACTCCTCTCAACATACATACACCATCATCACCATTACCACCACCTACCACAAACTTGCACCTACAAATTGTTAAAGGTTTAAATAAGGCCTTTTAAAAAAGTGAATTATGGGGCTTCCCTGGTGGCACAGTGGTTGAGAGTCCGCCTGCCGATGCAGGGGACAGGGGTTCGTGCCCCGGTCCAGGAGGATCCCACATGCCGCGGAGCGGCTGGGCCCGTGAGCCATGGACGCTGGGCCTGCACGTCCGGAGCCTGTGCTCCACAGCGGGAGAGGCCACAACAGTGCGAGGCCCGCATACCGCAAAAAAAAAAAATAAGCCATGACTAAATGTGATTTTAGTATAAGAGATAGGACGGCAATAGAATAACTTAATGAAACGCAGTAATTACAAAACCAAATGATCTGCCCTTATTATTAATATCATTACCTCCACCATATGATTTTCATTCAGTCTTTTATAATATAGGCTGATAACTTTTCTCCAAACTGTATATTTTGGTCTAAGCTTGCCTTAGCTTTCTACCCTGAGCAAGTTTATGGAATGGATTACAGATGCATCCAGCCATTGCTTGTAATGGATATCTATTGTTTTGCCTGCTCAGCACCCTTCGCCCACTTTTGAAAACTGACCATCTCTTGCTTACCCCCTCCCCTTGACCTCTTCTATCCATATGATTACTATAAACAACACCATGCTTGTTCAATGTTCAGTGGATGGCCCAGCTCACACCCAGTTCCCAGTTATCCTGTGTCAATGACCCCCAACTCTCCATTTAACTTTAGCACCCACTCTCTTAAGAACACACCCTAGTTGGGAATCACCACTAAAGAATGCCTATACTTCTGTTCCAACATGCCATCTAACCACACCCATCAGTCCATTCCCTCCTCTTACTCCCGTTTCACCTGTTCCATTTCATCCAAATCTTCAGGCCCTTGCCCACTCCTCCGAAACCACTGTTTTCCTCACCTCCTTTCCACACCCAGCCAGAATCCCCTACTAATCAAATCAATACCTCTTTTACTAGAACTCTCCATTGATTTTCCATCCTTTGTTTCCAGTACAGCAAGCCTGAGTATTCCCTGACCAGGTGAATCACTCAAATTCTGTTCCAGGTGACTGAGCTCTCACAGAGAAAGCTGCTCAACTATTCAGATTGGTATCATTCAAATTTATAGTGACTAACCACCTCAGCCCTCGGTGATCATCAGTAACCCTTTCATTTGTCCTAGTCAGTTCACATCTATATTCCCTAGAGTAGCTCTTCCGAAGTTGGACCACTTTCTTAAGCCCCTTGCTCATCAATCCCTCCATCTTTATCTTTAGCCCTTCCTTCCTCGTAGTGAAATAGAAATCACCAGGTGGGAGCACACTCACCTCTCTACTCCTCCAACTCAAATGTACCTACTAGAGTACCAACCTTGATCTCACTCATGACTATTTCTGAGGAACCGGGGTGTCTCCTCCTGTCCTCTCTAAGGCCACTGTTTGTGGCCTGTGTCCTAAGTCACAGACCAAAGCAACCTTCAGAGATGCTGTCTTCCTTCTATACCTTTACCTGCACTTCAGTCTAGCTTCTTCCCCATTAATCTCACTCCTCAAATAAAATCACCATCATCAAAAATAACAAGAGGGGCTTCCCTGGTGGTGCAGTGGTTGAGGGTCCGCCTGCCGATGCAGGGAACACGGGTTCGTGCCCCGGTCCGGGAGGATCCCACATGCCACAGAGCAGCTGGGCCCGTGAGCCATGGCCGCTGAGCCTGCGCGTCCGGAGCCTGTGCTCCGCAACGGGAGAGGCCACAACAGTGAGAGGCCCGCGTACCGCAAAAAATAAAAATAAAAAAATAACAAGTAAAACAAAATCTCCCCTTAGCCTTTTTACCATGTATAGCTACTTCCCATTTCCTTCTTCCATTTCCTCATCAAATTTCTTGAAACTTGTATATAATAATATAATATATATATGTATATATGTATATAATATATATATGTATATAATATACATATATTTATAATATAAAATATGTACATTTTATATGTTTATGCAATAGAAACAGATGGCAACAGTTTGAGGAGTAGAGATTGAGAAGAATATATATATAATATTATGTGTATGTATGCATATATATTTGTTGTTTATTCCCGAAACCATTGCCATCTGTTCCTCACCAAACTTCTAGACTGAAAATACCCACACTAGGTCACCTATGATCTTATAATTGCTAAATTCAAAGTTTCATTGCTAAGTTCTCTCCCTAATTGACCCAGTAGCAGTTAAAACTTTCTTTCTCCCCATAGCATTTATCACCTCTTTGCATTTTATACATTTACTTGTTTAGAACCTTTCTCCCTCCTGTAGGATGTGTTTATGAGGGCAGATACCCTGCTTTTTTGATTCGATGTCTAGAATAGTGCCTGGCATAATAAGTAACCAATGAATTTGTTGAATAAATTGCACCCACCTCCTGGCCAAAATCGATTGGTCCAGAGGTAGGAACCACACCCAACCTGGGTCAACTTCGTTTAAATCTAAGAGTTTAAACTTGGGACCAAGAGTCAAGCCAGTCTGTCTAAGTGGATGTAAACTGATCTTCAGTGTGAAAGGAGAATAAAGCAGATATGAGGGAGAAGTCGAGACAAAAACATCCTGGTAGAATTCAAGCCCCTGGTCCCATTATCCCATTTATCAAAACAAATTCTACTCTTGGTCTCTGTGAAATATCCCAATACCCGTATAGTAAGTTACCTTTTAAACTTAAACAAATTTAGTCTCTTTTTCTGTTGCTTACTACCAAGAGATTCCTTACTATAATACTGTTCTGTGGTTGATCAGGCTCAAAATAAACATTCTAAAGCCAATGTTCAAAAACAAAAAAAAAAAGGAAAGAGAGAAATGAGGGGAAAAAGTTACGAGTTCCTGTTCTAATTCCCTGAATGAACAATATGTGTAAATATATGGGCAATGGTTAACTTACTTTAATGAGAATGTGGTGTGATATGGAAGCATTCTCTTTATGATTTACAAACCTTTTATGATATCATACTTAGGTACTACTTATGGGAAAAGAGCTATTTACATGTCTTCTTTAAATAAGATTACACATACAATCATTTTAGATGTAACACCATTTTATAAAATTAAGTTTAGAACTAATTTTACCTCATGCTAGTATTCCTGAGGCCATAGAAAAGTACACCGTTAAACACAGAACAGTTGAAGAACCAGAGCTACAACAGCACATAACTAATTAAGGCTGGAAGGCAAACTGAAATGCATTCTAAACTGGCATTTAGAAATAACAAAGCTCTATCTTGGAGTATAGAATTAAATAATTATCTGCATTACATTTCATGAGTACTTACCAAACAAACGCTGATGGAACAGAAATTTGCCAGCTATTAGTCCTATGAGAATGGCAAGTAGCCATAGAAGCACCTTCAAAAGCCTCCAGCCAACTTCTCTAGGGTATTTATTTGTTACAAATGAAAAACAGTTTCCAACAACAATAACGTTGGCTTCTGTTTGGCTATGAGAAACTGGGTCCTCCGCAAATATTAAGAAGTTAAAGAAGATCACCAAGTAAGCCACAATCAACCGAGACCAGGGATGCTGGAAATAATAACGGAAGTCTTTACCCATCCTTCAAAACTTCAATTCCGTAGTTTACCTGCATAAGAAAAGATACACAGGGTTAGGGCAGAAAAACAAGTAGTCTCTGTCTTCCTGTTATCTGTTCAGATTTATAACAGCTCAATAGAGAGGTATTTGGAAAAGACCTATTCCTATTTATGGCACCAAGACAAGCCTGAGATTGAGGATTGTCCCTTCCCCATCATCTCATCATACCTCTGATCTATGGGGATTTAGGAAAGAAGGAGCGTATTGGAAAGAGTAGGGGGAGAGGGAGGGACATGAGAGGGCAGATCATGGTCCAAAATTGGGATGATGACTGAAATCATAGGTAAAAATCATCTCAGGAGGCAATATACAGCAAAAAAAATAATAATGCAACACTCTTCCTCTTTTAGATTATCATTTTTATGTTACAATCATAATACATATCATTTAAAAATTAAAGCAATGTAGAGGTAAACCGAGGACGTATTAACAAAATATAAACATCCTCCTGGGCTTCCCTGGTGGCGCAATGGTTAAGAATCCACCTGCCAATTCTGGAGACACGGGTTTGAGCCCTGGTCCAGGAAGAACCCATGTGCCGTGGAGCAACTAAGCCCTGAGCCCTAGAGCCCGTGCTCTGCAACAAGAGAAGACACTGCAGTGAGAAGCCCGCGCACCGCGCCTGCAACAAGAGAAAGCCCGCGGGCAGCAATGAAGATCCAACGCAGCCAAAAATAAATAAATGTATCGATTTATTTATTAAAAACAAAAAATCCTCCTCTGACCAAACCCCTCTCCTCAGAGTTAAGGTCCCTTAATAATTTGATGGATATACTTTCAGACCTTTTTTTTTTTCACATTGACAAAAATGTGTGTGTGTGTGGGCTTTTACAAAAATGTTCACAGTCTACTTGCCAAATAATTTCAACACAGAATACGGTTCATGAAATAGCTAAGTCTATGGCAGAGTACTTGCATGTAGGAGAGCTTTTAGGCAACTCTGCTTGTGGGAAGTGAAGAGGAAGGGGAAGATTTCAGAGGAGGACATACCCAAATGGGAGGTTGGGGGATCAGTAGGATTTTTTCCCCAGTGAAGGAGGCAAGGATGCTCAATCTAGGCATGTGCAAAGGCACAGAGGCATTGCAAAATATGTGATATGCCTAAAGGGCTAGGCCCTAACATGGATGTACACTTTGAGTACAGAAGCTTTCCTAAAATGCTGATGTCCAGGCCCCACCCCCTAAGTCTTGCTCAGCTCCTCTCTCTTTCCTCTTTGGGAGCCAGCCTGCCCATAGGAACACAAGCCTGTCTAGGTCCATCAGGTGTGGGACTGGGTGATTCAGTCTATCTAATTCTGGGGTTCAGTTTTGGTGAGCCCATTTGGTGCTCAGACTAAGCTATAGTTCTTTTTTTCCCCCGCAAGAAAGCTGATTAAATCTGGGGTAATAATAATAAAATTCTCATTTTACACGTGGCTAAAAATACAAAGAGCAAGTCAAAAACGTGAAGTAACTTGAAGTCAGTGGAAGATCTGAGAATAGACTCCAAGGCTGGCTCCCAAGTTCCAGTCCAGCATTCTGGGCTGATGAATGTCAAGTAAACCCACTATCTAAGCTAATGAAGACTTGGCTTAGCTATTTTAGAAAAGCTATGTAAACACACAAAACAACTGGCAGTAAAATTTAGCACAACAAATAGTTACTGTGCCTTGGATTCTAAACCTTCTAAGCAATTACAAGTCCTTTGTGATCTTCATGAATACTCCAAAATATCTGTTCCCAGCATCTGTAGCCCAGATCGCTAAGGAATGGTGATTTTTTTTTTTTTTATGTGAGGTTCATCACCCAAAGACCTGTGTGGTTCTCACACCAAAGAGAGCAGAGAAAGTGATGAAGAAAAAAACACATCATGCATTTTCACAGTATTCAATATGCTAGAAGGCCAGAATGGGTCAGCTGTCAACTTGATTTTATGCAACATCTTTGGAAATGTCGAAAGACCACTATTAGAAGAGAATACATAGAAACACCTCAAGGTCAATGAGTCTTGAAGCAGGAATAGTTCCTACATGCCCATCAGAACTGGACAGGGGTGTCAGTTAACAAGTTAACAGGTTTCTACATTGCTTCTCCTACCAGTGAGGAATTCTGGTGTAATTGTCCCACCACCTCCCTTCCCCACCCACACACAAGCAAGGCAGCAGGATTTAGAACACTGACTACATATAACCCTGATTGTTTGTTAAATAAATGCTTTGTGGAGAGTTGGCATATACTTATTTTATTGTTGCTGTTGTTAATTTCAGAACCTTGCTTTGTGGGCTATGTAATGTCCACATGTCCAAACTGAATTACAACATTCAAACAATTTGGAGACAGCTGTTCCTCGCCAATATTTATATTGTTTCAAGAGAGAGAACTATAGTACTGAACAACAATCCTGCCCTAGTAGAGATCCTAATTCCCACAGCATGCTATGAATGCTACTATCATTCCTATGTTACAGGTAGGAAAACAAAGGAGCAGAGCAGGTGCTGCCTACGTAATTTGCATATCTAGCGAGTGGAAGAGCCAGCACTTCAATCAAAATCCATTCCTAGCCCTTGATCTAATATACCACAACAAAGCCGGAAGTGTTTGTTGCAATAAATAGTTCCCATCATGTTTACAGCTTAGTCTTCATCTCCCCTAACTAGATTCAGTGACTTAGACACTAGCTTAGTGAACAGGATCATTTGGTCTTTTTATTTTATGCTAAACGTGGTTATTTATTCTTGCCTCATACACTAAAGGGAAGCGATGTCTTCTAGAGGGTCCCAAATTTCCAAACCTACATCATAACTTAAACAACACCTGTGCTTATCTCCACTTCCTGACTTCGTACACAAGGTTGCCAAAAGTTTGCCAAGTGATCTCGGCCTGTTATCCAGAGCACCAAAACTGCTTTCCTCTCTGTAGTTCCCATAAGGCGTCCTGATGATCAGTACAACCATTTGGTGACTCTAATGTTAACAATCCAGGATTGAGGTGGTTCAAATTGACAATGCTCCACTGTGTACACAGTCTAAAAATGTTTTTTAATTTTTTAAAATTCAATTCTGCTACCACAGTTGAGCTTTTATCGTAAACAAATGTGCTTTTATCGTAGCTCTTAGCAGATCACAGTGAAATGATCTGTTTTTTATGTGTTTGTCTCCCTCACTAGAACACAAAGTCCCCAGAGAAGGGGCTGTTTACTTTCAGAGCAAGCAAAGTGCTGAGCTCATAGTGGGTAATCAGTAAGCACCTAGTGGATAAGCTGAGCAGAGATCAGTCCCCTCATTTAGGTGAGATGAGAAGGCAGAGCAATCTGCCATTCCTTCCACTAAGGGAAGAGAAGAACAGCTGAGTCCAAAGACTGCAAGGATGACTCAGCCAGGAACAAGCACTGACACACCCCATGCCCACCCCTACAGTTCCTATGTCATTTCAGCCCCAGGTTCTGCACTGTTATCATTATTACTAAGGCTAACATTTATTCAGGACTTAGCATATAGCCGACACCATGCTAATGAGCTTTACAGACATCTCATTTAAATTTCATAGCAGTCCAATGAAGAGATAATCTATTGTAAGCAATGTTGAAGCTGAGTTTAGTAACTTGCATGACAGAACAAAACAAGCCTATGCCACAGCCAGCATTCACATCCCAGCTACGTGGCTTCAATATTCTATGCTACACCTTCCCCACGCGAAGACAGACATTCCAAAATCTTGCCCTTTTCATGTTGTTTATAAAGTTCCTAATAATAAAGCCCACTGCTATAAAAGATTCAAAGTACTTGTAGGATAAATGAGTCTACTATTACTCTTCAAACTGACTTGGTAGCATGATCAGAAAGAACTGGGATTCCTCGAATTTTTTCCTTCTCCTTTGAGCATCAGTATAAGTAGTTGAGTCTATCTGATTGTCCTTTTGCGACGCATCACTGATATTCATTCTGTGATTTTCCAACTCTGCTTAGGGAGAACACTGCACCTCTGAGAACTAGGCTAATTCACACCATTCAATTCTCTCTCCTGATAATATCATCATTAGGTAGATGCCCCCATCAATACCTGGGAAGCCTCTGCTTTTACACATAATAGCAGTGACAAAGATGATGGTTAACTACAGGCTTAAACTTTATATACTGTCTGATAATCCATAGGCCTTCAGTCATGGTTTCCAACTCTAGAGGGACTAATATTTAGAGTAGATATTAGAAATGTCATGCATTTTACTACAAGCCAGTATTTCACCTGGTACTAAAGGCTAAGAATGGAAAAATGGAAGGTAGGGTAATTACACTCAAGTTGGGAAGATCAGCTGAGCAAAGGCACAGGAAAGGCTATCTGGGACAGGCACAGAGATGTATCAGTAGTTCTGTGTGGCTGGAACATAGAGCACTTGGGAGTATCCTGGGAGAGTTAAGGATAATTTGGGGCCGGTTCAAAGAAGATTATACAAAAGTACTGTTCTGTATTTTACTGAGTAGACACTATGGATTCAAAGTTTTCAGATCCGAAACTGTTTGGAGCAGGGTTTTAAAAAGATTTCTCTGCCAGCTTGGAAAATGATCCACTGTTATGTGGCATGATGAAAATGGCAAGACTAGTTTGGAGGCACCTCCAACAGTTTACGTAAAAGATAAGCAGGTCCTGGACCTGGACAACATCGATGCCCTAATAATTGTTTTAATAATTTGTTTGATTACACCAAGAGTACCCTGCCTTCCTTACTTATTAGGATTTTTACAAATAAGTGAAAATACTCAAGGACTTCAGAAGTATGAATTTCATGTTTCCTCAGCAGGAACCCTGGCTCAGGTGATACTTTTTGCATAATGACAAGTATCATCAAGATAGAGCGTATCACTTCTATTTTAAAAAATTTATGAATGCATATGGCAAAGTCCTTGAAGAACTAATAAAATATGCTATACAAAATACATTGTTACTAGCCAAGTAAAACTCCCTCAGAGCCCAGCTCTGCTAACGTAGGTCTTAGCATCTAGTGATACCTAACCAGGTAATAACATCGTTTTCATTGTGGAGCACTATTCTAGGATAAAAAAAGAATTTCTCCAAAGTTTTTGAAGCTCCTTGGTATTTATGTCTGAAAATTCACCTGTAACCCTTCTTAGCTCTTGTCAAAGGGCTTATTAAAGATGACTGCGCCTGTACTCTGCCAAGAGTGTGAACTTTATTCCAGCACCTTGAGTCTAATTTCCTAAAAAATAATGTTTAAAAAGACTTCTTGTGCTTTATTTTTTGCAGTATGCACTTTGTGCAGCAGACAGCTGTGTTTTGGACACTTCTTGGCTGTATTAGTACAAGACAAAGTTAAAGGGTATTTTCTTCAGTTACCTAGCTATAGTATTATGCTAATGTATGTAAAGTTCCTTGCAGTTAACAGAACACTTTTTACAATCATTTCATTTAATCCCTAGGAAATCATCGCTTTTAAAATTGCCTATCAAAAGGGCAGACAGAACTTTAAATTATTTAATACTGTTTCCTTAAAAGATAAATAACGATAGCCTATGTTTATGTCACATTTTACCTCTTAGTGTTCTTAATGGGTGAAATCACACCTTTAGAATGACTTTATAGAAATGATCAAAGGAATCAGGAAGGCAAAACAAATGGCGGTGGGAGGAATATGGTCCAGTTCTACCTGACCCTGCTACTCACTAGCTCCGTGACCTTGAGGGAATCCCTAACCGCCCTGAGATTCCATTTCTTCACCAGCAGAATCCTAATGCAAGTACTTTCCTCATGGGGTTGTAGTGAAGACTAAAGGAGATTTCATTTGTAAAGTGCCTAGTCACTTTCAGGAACTTCCTACCCTGAGGACCACTATTAAAGTACAAGTGTCTCTTGGTCATTCCCATTAAACATGAACATGAAAATAATATCAACTCTATATTACATTTACTGAGTGCTTTTCACATGCTACTCGCAGTGTCAAAGGATTTTAATATAACAACATAAAGGATGAATATCTTCCTTAATTTACAAATATTGAAAATGAGGCTCAGAGAGGTCAAGCTACTTGTCTAAAATCGTACACAGAAAGTGGTGAAGTCCACTTTTTGTTAATTCCATGCTAATTCCATAATCTCTTCATTCATTTGTTCACGATTTACCAATTGCCTATTTGTGCCAGGCACTGGCCTATGTGGGAAGGTTACTAACAGACAACACCCCTGTTGCCCTGCATCTTAGAGTCTCAACTGAGGGAAACAGACATTAAACAGAGAAAAATGAAACACACAGTATTTTAGAAAGTTATAAGTTGCTGGAGAAAATTAAAACAGGAGAAAGTTAATAGGGGGTGTCAGGAGTGAGGGAAGTTGAAGAAGCCCTCACTATAAGGTGACAATTGCCCAGGCATGAAAGAAGGAAGCGAGGCAAGCAGATATCTGGGGAAAGAGTGATCCAGGCAGAGGGAACTCCCAATTGTAAAGGCCTGTGCTGGGTGCATGATTAGTGCATTTAAGGAACAGCCAGGAGTCTAGTGTGACTGGACAGGGTATGGGTGCAGAGGAGTATGAAAGGACTCGAGGTCTGGGAGGCAGCATCACCACCAGGCCTTGAGGCCATCCTACCATGTGGGCTTCACCCTGTGGGAGATGGGAAGCAGAGGGTGATGCAATCTGACCACTCTGCCTGATGCTTGGAAATTTATCAGATTCTGGACACATTTAAAAAGAAGAGATGACAAGATGTACTGATAGACTGGATGTGGACACGGCCTGGCAAACCCCAGAATGGATTTGCCATTTCCTGAGATGGGAATGCATTTCTTGAGATGAACACTGTTGGAGCAGACAGGCAACATAATGACAACTAACATTTTGTAGTGCTTTTTATGTGCTGGGCTCTTGGCAAGCATTTTTCATGCATTATTTCAATTAACATTTAGACCAAACCTTCGGATTCACCAGTGAAGAAACAGAGATTTTAAAAGGTTATAATTTGCCCAAGGTCATACAGCTACCAATTGGCAGAAGCAGAGAGAACTATCTCTTTATTACCCCAAAGTCAATACTCTTAATTACTGTGTATTCCCTACCCTGAAAAGTATAACACCTAATAAATTTCCAATGGGGAGGGAGCAAGGGTAAGAATTAGGTGATGATGTGCGCCTAGTAGGCACTCAATAAATCTTTGCTGATGGATGAGTAATGAAAAACTGTGAGATGACGGTTGGATAACAGACCAGCTCTGGGTGAGAAAAAAGCACTGAATATTCCATTCCAGACAGAACAGACTCTGGATAATGGAATATCCAAGTCTATAAAATGAGAAATGTCAGAAGGTGAGAAAAACAAATATATATTTGCCTAGACCAGTCCTGAGGTAAGGATAGGTCTTAGTTTACTATCTTGAATTGTTAGACGAAAAGGCAGGCAGGCATGAGGGGATGACACACAGTATTTTTATGTAATGCAAATGCTTAATACAGGTTTTAAAAATACAAACAGCGGTAATAACAGAAGTAAAATTGGAACTTCTTACTTTTAGTCCAATGCAAGAGACCACACAGCCTTTTAAATAAAAATCAACCTTTTAAGTCAATCAATGAAACCACCATAAGTGGCTCTGTACAAATACCAGGATTGTATTTGTGGTACCCTAGCTAATTTAGAGGATCGCATCCATAAATCACTTCCTAGACTTTCTCTTCACATAGTTTCAACCTTTAAATTATGTTCTTCCCTTGTTATTGTCCTTCAGTCTTTGGCATAACAAAGCACTGAACCCATGCAAGTGTTTAAAATAGAAAACATGAAAGCAAAGCAGCTCAGGGGTTCTCTCTGAACTAACACATTAGCCAACTTTCCATCAAAATGGCAAGATTTTGATCAAAATGTCCTTTTCATGTCCTAAAGTTGAAAAATAATCACCAATGAATTCTTTAAAAATATTTAGACTTCCTTTTCATTACATGTGTTGATGATAAAAAATTAATTGCCATGATCATATTCTAAACATAACACCAAATAAAGTAACAGTTAATGAATAAAATAAAATTCATTCATATCTGAAATTGCTTTTAATTGACTGACAGTTTTAAGAAGTAAATTAAGTACAACAAACAAGTACTGGTTTCTGATCACAAGGATCAGGTGAAGGTGGGATGGGGTGGGAATAAATATGAGTCAAAATGTCAAAATCCATAATTACCTTTAAAGTACAAAGATTGGGGGACAAGGAATAGAGCTGGAAAGTATAAGCATGGCAAAAATTCAATACTTTACAACAAAAATTGCTTTTACAGGGATTCTACTACACTTTACATTCAATAAATTGGAAGAACTTTTTTTCTGAAGACAAAACAAAACCCTGAAATCTTCCTGGAAGTCCTTCTCTGGATTTCAAACAACATATCATTTATAACTAGGGGGAAAATACATTTATTCAAATACATTTATTCAACATACTTTTACTCGAAAAAAAAAATGTTGTTCATGAGACTTCTACCTACACATAAATACTAAAATAAGCATGTGATGTTTACGAGCATCTCTCTCTCATACACGCACACTCGTTTATTGTTCCACAGCGAGTAGAATGAATAAGGGCAGCCAGAGTGGACCCACATGAGTCAAACACACTTGTGGGCCTCTGGCATTTTCAAAAATAGGACTCGACAAATAGCTTTATTAATCACGATGAAGACAGTAAACACCCAAACACTGAAGTTTTGTGGGGTTTGGAGGGGTTTGTTTTTTAAGGCGAACACTCCTGAACTACAACCTGTTAATTTAATTAACGAACAATACTGGGGCTTTTACTCTGTTCGCATCCTAGGAACCCCTGAAGCGAGGAAAGTTCATCGTCCGTCCTGGCGACGACCCTCACCCTCGGATCCCGGTAGTTTGAGGGCCCCCCGCCCCCGCGCCGCCCCGAGCCCTCCTCCTCCTCCTTTTGCTGGAGGGCAGGTGCGCGCCCCCCTCCCGGGCACTGCACTGCCCCTCGGCGCGCCGACCCCGGGAAGGGAGGAGAGGAATCGCTGCGCAGCGGGCCGGGGGACGCGGCCGGGGCCGCAGTCGCGGGCAGGACGAGGAGGCGGCGCGGCTGCGGGCGGCCGGACCGGGAGGGCTCCGCCGCAGCGGGACCGAGCGGCGGGGGAGGCGCGCGCGGCCGCCCGGGCCGCGTACTCACCAAGGGGGCCGCGCGGGCTCTGGGCGTCCGCACTCGGGAGACCCTGTGGAGCGCAGCCCTCCGCCGAGCCCGCGGCCTCGCTGGGAAGCGCGGCGAGACGGGCCGGCGGCGTCGCTGCCACCGCAGCTGTCACCGAGCTATAAATACCGGCTCGGCCCACACCCGTCGCCGCCTACGCCGGGGGCCCTCCGCAAAGTCCGCCGGCCGCGGGCCGGGCAGCGGGAGCGCGAGGGCGACAGCGCCGCGCAGACTGCGCCGGCTCCAGCTGTGCGGCAGCTTCCGCAGCTGGAGGCATGGCCTCCCGCCGCCCCCGCCCTGCCCTCCCGCTCCCTCCTCTCGGGCCCGCGCCGCGGCCCGACTCCAGCCCGCGGGTCTTGCGCCGCAGCCGAGCTGCCCGGGCCGGGCCCTCCTCTGCAGAGCCGGTGGCGGCGGCGACGGGCGGGGACCGACTTCGGTACCCGGAGGGGTAGGGGGTGGCGGCCGGGGGCGGCAGGGCTTCAGCCTAGCCTGTCAACAGCAGCCCCTTCTTCCCGGGGGGAATCGGCCGACTTCTTATAAAACCCACCATCCTGCGGGCAACCAATGAGGTTCCCAGGTGGAATGTCCTCTAAGAGCTGCAAACTTTCTAACGCGGTCGGGTCACAGGGCATCCTTCCTGCTTTTGTCTATTGGTGGCGTGGAGGGCTGGGGGTGGGAAGAGACAGAGCCCGCGACGATCTGAGAAGTCTGAAACTTACTTTCCAGCCTGTCTAACTTACACAAAACATATGCTCATATATTCACACATGTACACACTTTTATAAGCACAAACACATTCATACACACTTAGAAATGAGCTGCATATGTATACACATATTTATGCACACATATATACGGAAGCACACAGGAGCACAATTTTTAACCTTTTTGCAGCCTGAAGCTCTCAATAAGCTATAATTCTATAGTGCTCAAGTGATTCCTTTGCAGCATGCCGGAGGAAGGCCCTCTGACCACATTTAACAGGTTCCTTTCTTCCTGTTGTAGCGTCTTTTCCATTATATATGTGTGTGGCCTTGTTTCCATCCACACCCAATAACAACTGCTACCTCAATTTACAGGTTGCTTATAATGTATTAAAAACTGCTATCCGGCATACTGATATTCCATGCTAACAGAAGTGACCACTAGTTTGTATAGTCAAATGGAAAATGGGATAATTCATATCTACTTAACAGTAGCAAACTTAGGAGGAGAACAGCCTCTCTCCTGGACTGGCAGCATGATTCAGGAATAAATTGGGTAGCAACGGGGAGAGCTGAGATGTCAGCAGATTTTGAGATGGTATAGAGAGAGCCATTCCCAAGTCCTGCAGTGTAGCTAGTGTACACAGGGATCGTTGGGAGTCCACTGCCATACTTCTCACTAGTCACAGTTTGTGATCATCTTATGGAACTCTCAGCATAGTGAAGCTTTCACAAGTTTTCCCAGAAAGTTATTTCCTATGCTAGGACTTTGTACATTTTACTGTGACATTTCTTACATTTGCTGTACTTTTTTACAACTTCTTTTTCTCCCCCACTAAACAATAAACTCTTTGAGGGCAGAGACTAAATCTTACTCACCATTGCATCCTCAATACCTACCATAATGAGTTATAGTAATGGCTCAATAAATAGCAGATTAATTCCACAGTTTAACTATTAGAGTCTACTGTGGTTTTGTAACTATAATCAGGATTATTTTACAAAAAATTATTAAACCATGTAACTAATTAACATGACTTCCATATGCTATATATATATATATTTTAACTGTAGATTTACAATATTATATTACTTTCAGATGTGCAGCATAGTGATTCAGTATTTTTATAGATTATGTTCCAGTCAAAGTTATTATAAGATAATGGCTATATTTCCCTGTGGCGTACAATATATATTTGTAGCTTATTTATTTTATACATAGTAGTTTGTAGCTCTTAATTCCCTACCCAATGTTGCCCCTCCCCCCACCCCTCTCCCCACTGGTAAACAGTAGGTTATTCTCTATATCCGTGAGCCTTTGTTATATTCATCCATTTGCTTTATTTTTTAAATTCCATTTATAAGTGATAACATACAATATTTGTCTTTGTCTGACTTATTTCACTAAACATAATACCCTTCCAGGTCCACCCATGTTGTTGCAAATGGCAGAACTTTATTCTTTTTTATAGCTGAGTAGTATTCCATTTTATATATATATATATATATATATATATATATATATATGTACACATACTACATCTTCTTTACCTGTTAATGGACACTTAGGTTGCTTCCATATCTTGGCTATTGTAAATAATTCTGCAATGAACATTGAGGTGCATGTATCTTTTCAAATTTGTGTTTTTGTTTTCTTCAGATGTATACCCAGGAGTGGGATTACTGGATCATATGGTAGTTTTATTTTTTGTTTTCTGAGGAATCTCCATAATGTTTACCATAGTGACTGCACCGATTTACATTCCCACTGACAGTGTACTAGGGTTCCCTTTTCTCCACCTCTTCACCGTATGCTATATTTTCCTTATGTCTTCATTTAAAGCAAAGAATCTTCAATCAGTTAAAACTGGAAAATATTAAAGCTTCAAAAATTGTACAGCATAATACTGAGGACTGTGGGTTCTTAACTATCATCCCCTTTCCCAAAAAAAACAAAACAAAGCAAAACAAAAGACACTTTTCCTGTTCCTGAAAGACAGTGTGTACAACACATTGTATTTCAAAGGATATTGGGGTAAAAATCATTGAGCAGCTTCTCTTCTGTCTACTTGAAAAATAGAACTCACTCCACTCCATGATTGGTTGAATTACTCTGGTATCTACTAGAGTGAATTTCAGTTAATCAGAACTGAAATGTCTGGCCTCAGTTACATGGTACTCATTACCCTACCTTTAGATCCCTGCCTTCTTAACTTATGGTCAGGCTTCCTTTAAAAATAATTTTAAAAATAAACTTAACCAATGCTTACTATTTGTTCTTAATTGAGAGATCTCAAGTTTTAAAGAATACAGTTCTCCAGGACCACTTCAAGGCAAAATATTGAAATGAGCAGGATTTTCTTCAATATCAATGCTCCCTTTTTACCACTGACCAAGAAGCTTGTGCTCTTTGCTTCAATAGCCATCCATGATCTCCAGTTCACCCCTATCTAAGAACCAGACAGGAGAATAGCCTTTACACTTGATCTTTGTCACAATAACATATAGTGATAAAAGCTTGATTTACGGAAGGCTTATTGTGCACCAGGTCCATTTCATGTATTAAAATGTTTAATCTCTGCAACAGACCTGTGAGATGCTGCAGTTAGTTTCACTTCTATGTTTGTCTTTGAGGAAAGAGACGAGCAGAGACTGAGAAGTTCATGCAGGATCTCACGACTAGCCAGAGTGGTGGAGTAAGGATCAGAAACCAGGCAGTGTGTCTCACCAGCCCACATTTTAACCTCTCATCTTATACTTCCTCCCTGTGTACCTCAAAAGGGATGTGGGTATTACAGTTAGGAGGCCTGGAATAAGGAATATGAGTGTGAATTCTGGTTCCATCACAACCCTAGCTGCAACTCTGAGCAAATTGCTACTATAAGATTACCGTAAGAATCCCTAGGTCTTCTTTTCTTCACCATTAAAGTGGTGAGATGTTACATCTGGACATGGACTTATGGGCCCAAGGTAGGTCTTTTGGCCTGTTCAAGGACAGATCCTATTCAGGGTTTAGGCTACTGTTCTCCCTATTCTCCAGTCTCTTTCCATCCCAGTTGCCACCTACCACACAGAACTACTGGGAGTTTCAAGTGCCTTAATGTGTGTAAGACACCTATAGAATGCCAGGTGCATGATAGGCTCTCAGTAAAGGCCATTCTTCCTTCCCATCAAACCTTATGTTCTATGAAAACTTTCCTCCAGACCAAAATCTGTTGGTCCAGTGCACAGATGGTGACTGTTTACTCACAGAAATTAACCATTTCTCTAGTGTTGGTCTGCAGTGTTTGAAAATGGTATTATAGATAAGAGCCCCAAGAAGAAACCAAGATGGCAGAGCTGCATATCTTGCACTCATCCCATCCATATTTTAACACAGACAGCTCCGTTTCTTTTCTTTATAGGCAGTAAACTGGCCACAGTTTCAGACAATGTCAGGGCAATGATATAAATAGTTTAAGAAGGAAACTCTCAAATGCCACTATCCAGTCTTCTACCTACTCTACTTCCACATACAGAGTCAACCCTGCAGACAGACAGGCTTAAAATATGTCTTGTTTATATATAATTCCTTTGTACAGTCTGACCCAAGAGGGCAGAAATTAGAAGTAACCACATGAGATAATGTTCTTCTGTTTGCCTCATCTATCCCAGTAGATTAATAATGCAGTTATACTCTGTATTTTAAAAAAAGGAAAAGACAAGCTCAATATACACTTCAAAATTTGGTGAAAACTTTGATCATGACCAAACTGTATCCTCTCTAAATGGCCCTTTGAAAGCAAAAGGAAACTATAGGCGGAAGCATCAGTAGTCTGTACCAAGTCTATCAGGAAACCCTTTCATCAGTGATTTGATGTACTCCAAGCAAAATCATTTTTAACTTCCAACAGGTCAATCAAGATGATGCTTATTGCACACTCCATATATAAACAGCATAATTCCCTTGTTTCCAAAGAGGTAAGAATAGAAATTTGAAACTGATCCATAATTTTCTTCTGGCATTTAAAGGTCAATGACTTTATTGCCAGGATTTTCCTCAGCAGACGTAATTGTAAATGTCTAGCCCCACTGTACCCAGAATACACTGATATATTTTATAAATTTATTTATTTTTGGCTGCGTTGGGTCTTCGTTGCTGCACACGGGCTTTCTCTAGCTGCGTTGCTGTGCGTGGGCTTCTCATTGCGGTGGCTTCTTTGTTGCGGAACGCGGGCTCTAGGCTCGCGGGCTTCAGTAGTTGTGGCTCTCGGGCTCTACAGTGCAGGCTCAGTAGTTGTGGCTCACAGGCTTAGTTGCTCCGTGGCATGTGGGATCTTCCTGGACCAGGGCTCGAACCCGTGTCCCCTGCATTGGCATGCAGTTTCTTAACCACTGCGCCACCAGGCAAGTCCCTGATATATTTTAGTTAGTCCACATGTCCTGAATTTTGCTTGGGAAAAGATCATTACATGTCTACTGCTTGGAATATTAGAGCCTGTGCTCTGAAATCCTGGTTCTGCACAGATAGTGGCAATGTGATATTAAGCAAATTACTTAGTACTTGCC